AACACTCACACATGCACCATTTTATGTTTTGATTGTAAGTTAGAGACACACTCATAGATATGATGTATACTTTTGTATACGTTGTATTTTGTACATGCTCTAATAAAATAGGAAAAAAAATTAAAATAAAAGCCATGTGGCAGTTATGTTGCTATCACTTTAATTCTCTGTATGACCGGATGTGATTTTACCTATTCATATTCAGTGCTGTAATAACAGCTTTATAAATTCTGATTTCCTAGGATTCACTTTGTTTTTGAGGTGAGGAAGGAAGTTTACAAAAAATTACAAGGCATGCTTTCCCAGTTAAAAAGCAAAGGTAGAAATTCACTGATGTACTTACGTACATAGCTAACTTCAAACTTTGAATAGGACTGAAGCCTGCACTTCCAAACAGTGGGCTGCAGAAGTGAATTTGTTGCCTTACCTGAACTGTTACTATTCATGAAAAAGTTGATCCAATCACAGATTGCTGGGTGTTCATCCACAGAACTGTTTTATTCAACAATCCTGGTGTTCAAAATCCAGCTATTGCCTTTGAAATGCACTATCAAACATCTACATCCGACTGCATAGCAGAGAATTAATTTTGCTGCACCTGTATCAGACAAGAAATAATTTACAATAATTTGTCAGAATTAACCTTTTGATAAGGCATAAATTTGTCTAGATTTAAAGCACTTTAAAAAGGTGCAGAGGTCCATTTGTATTAAACAAATGCTGTATCAGCAGTTTGATGGCAGCAAAAATACTGACGCTGAGTATAACTACTACTCTATTGGACTTAATCTCTAGTGCAATAAAACATATCTCTGGCATTTCAGCATGGCAAGATATGATTCATAACCAACTGTATCACTCTTATTTAGTCCTAGAAATGTTAAGCTCTGTAATTAACAGTAGGTACTTGCAGGTCCATACTTTCAGGATGTAATGACAAATGTGAATTCTGCATCACCAAGCAATTAAAGTTACTTAAAACCATATGTTTTTAAAATGCCGTTAAAAATTCCACAATTTTTAACACCAGAATGCATCAAATAGCACTGCTTTTAAAAATAGTACACGTCGTTTGTAATGTCATTCAAGATAAATGACAAACCAAGAATCTTACTTTCCTCTTTACTTCTTTTATTTCCAAATTTATCTTTTTATGGGATTAAAATGTAGCGCTGAAAAAAAAAAAAAAAAAAACCTGTGTGCTTGGCTGGTATTTTGCATACAACTTTATGGTTTCTCAAAACCCCACAGGCAACTATTTACCCAGAGATTGCTAAAAATATTCAGCTCCATACCCTCACACACCATAGTGCCAAAGCACAAAAGTAGAAACACCAATATCACCTTATAACACGCCACAGACCACAAGCAGAGGCATCAAGCGCACTGTTAATTATCAGTCATTGCAAGGGTTGGAAAGAAAGTTGTTAATATAAGCTGAGGAGCCCAGGAAGAGAACCACCCTATAGGTCTTGCTTGCATATTAGAGAAGAGGGTCACAGTGTAACAGTTTATAGCAGAACAGATGGGACCTTTTTGGCAGGTGTGCCATGAGTTAACCCTGCCCCTTCCCCAACAAAGATCCCTTTCCCTTACCTGATTTGCTGTTCAGCTTTCTACTGCCTGTCCTGTGGCTCCCTCATCAAGCTGCTGCTCTGCTTTCTGCTCCCTGCCCTGTGTTCCCTGCCTGATCTGAAGCATTGCTTTCTGCTCCCTGCCCTATCTGCCACTGAGCTTCCTGTCCCCATCCTCATTCTGCTACATACCGCATGCAGAGGTTGCCCATGCCACTTATGGCACCTATGCTACAGATTGACCACCCCACCCTGGTTTAGAAAATCATGTGTGTTTAATGAGCACTGTATTTTGGCCATCACTACCTTAAATAACATTAAAGAGAAGACACTCAAGAGTAAGCTACTTGTTGACAAGAATTCAGATTGGTAACAGCAAAAACTTTTAGAAGAATTTAGATGTAAAATTTACAGCAGAACCCACAATATACTCTGTAGGCCACTAAGCATAACACCATTCACCAGCTCCTGTTTATATTTTTGAGCCCTTTTGTTCCCTTTATTACTGATCTGATCTATTCTTGTGAGAAGAGGGGTATCCAAATATACAGCACCTTGTTTTTATGATCTGAGATCATAAGCACATCAGCAGTATACTTAACTTGATTGCTTGGGCAGTGTTCATGTTCATATGTTAGCTGCGGTTCCAAGAACTTGGTATTTCAGACTCCAAGAGCATAGCCTTACTCAGGGCAGTACTTTAGGATACATTGACCTGACTACCAAAGATTTTAAGTGCTGCATTTAATTGGAGCTTCTGAGTTTATCTTATCCTTTGCTGTTAACTCTCCTGGAAAGACGACTAGTTTATCAACCAAGCTGCAGGCAACAAGGCTATGAAATCATACCACATTTAAAAGGTAAAACACCTTCTTTTATTTCTCTGGGGATGAAGGATAATATGGTGTTTATTTGGCAGGATTCAGATGTCTTGTGTTTACATTTGGACTTGCCTTTACATGCAGACTGTAAGGAGGAACAGAATATTTACAGGTTACTTTTTTTTTTGTTTTGTTATACAAAGCACATATGAAAATATAATTCCCTACTAGCAGATCTTAAGTGGAAGGTGAGACAAGCCAACGTATTGTGAATCCACAGGCCTGTGAGGAAACCCCAGACAAAGTCCAGCAAAATCATCTTTCTATCTCTGTTTTTTAGTGGTTTCTCTGTTGGTTAGGCTTTGCTTTTTTTTTGTTTTGTTTTTTAAAGTAGGCCCATGTCCTGCAAAAATGTATGTGCATCCTTAAATTTTCAACCTATGATTCTTGCCACCACACAGGAGTACTCATATGCTTAACTTTAAAGTAGTTTATGTATATTAAGAACTGAATCCCTAAGTTAGTTTATTATTGCTGCTTTTAAATTACTTCTGTTCACCTGTGTCCAGTGGAAAACCTTGAAACTGAAGTTCTCCATCCACACCCTGCCCTACCTTCTCCTATCCACAAAAGAGGTACAAAAAAGTAACAACAGTGAAAGAGGATGACTACAATATACAAACCAATAGTGCTGATAAACATTTATAAAAATAAAAGGTTAGCTCTAAGAAAAACAAACAGCTTTTGGCACCAAAATATAATGTTTGTGTAGTTTCAGCTAACAAGAAACCTTAATTTAATTCATTTTAATGTTTTGCATTCATGTTCTTTAAGCTATCCACTAAAAGTAAGGCTTAAGATGGTAACAATTAGGCATGATGACTAAATACAGTCTAGTCACTAAATCTGGTGCTACTTTTTGTTAACTAGGAAGATATGCTATATGCATTTAATTATATAAAATACGTTTATTCCAACTGTTATTTTTTATATTTCATCACATTAAAATGAATTACATTTCTGTATATGCTATATTTAAACCCATGTCAAGCTACATTTGGATGAAAGCCAACTAGAATCAAATTTAAAATGCAGAACACCAGCATTTTTTAAAAGTTTGTTATTATAACTAGAATCATGATAAATATGCTGTTTGTATAATTTTCTCTGTCCAAACAGATTTATTAAAACAAAAAAAATTACTTTACTTAGCCAATTAGACTAATTCATTCTGGTCACTTAAAGTTTTAAAATTAGTAGACTTCAACCTCTGAAATCTAGTTGTTATTCACCTGGTAAGAGAAAGATATCAAACTTCCTCGTCTTTCACAACATCCTATCAAATTTTTCAACACAAAAGCAGTTGCTAGAGGGCACGTCTACACGTGCATTACATTTAGTACCTCCAACGTAAGGGACTAAATACATGTGTGTTAGGCTGCCCTAATGCATAGAACCGAAAGTCCATGTTTAAGTGATGCTTAATATGCAGTAGCCCATTTTACTGGGCCTTAGCATAATTGCACGGTTTTTTAACGTGATGTTTTAAAACGCAGTAAAATAGGCTACTGTGTAATAAAGTGCACATGTAAATGTGCCCACTATCAAAAGCCAATTTAATCACATCAAAAAAACACAGGTTCCATGCACTTAGCCACTGACTTCCCCTAGTTACATTGTTTAAATTTCAGCAGCCAACAACTTTGCATATCATGCATTTAATTTAATGGTTAACTGATCTATTCTAATGTATAGATTACAGTAAATGTACCCTTACAATGGACTGATCATTTCAAATTGAATTTCAAATATTGTGAAAAAACTAATTTTAATAAAAGGCCCAACTTATAAAAAATCTAATTAAAAAAATATTAATCATTTTTATCCATCTTCACCACAAAAGATACAGGGATCAAAGCATTATGGGAGAGGTATTAACACTCATGAGAAATGTCCAGTAACACTACCTCCACTGCTATCAGAAGACTGAAAAAACAATGCCTGGTATACTGCTCAAGAGGATAATATCACACCTAAGGGCCTCAGCACTTCCTCATAAAAACAATTTCACATATGTATAACATGCCACAGCCACACACCTCTTCCCACTGTGAACTGAAAGCCTGGCTACAATTCCACTCACTGATAAGAATTCAGACATGTTAATCTTTGCCTTAATACTCACAAAGATGGATAACTCATTTATGCTAACATAAGACAAAAAAAACCCCTATTTTGCCTGTTCAGACAGAGCAGTAAAGTGTTAAAAACGACAACAAATCTCCTGGCCTGTGAAAATAGAAAATGGCTGCCCTTCTTTTTTTTTTCCTTTTTCTTTTTTTAAAATGGGGAAGTTCCTTGTGTAATTTTCTAAAAAGGGGACATTTTCTTCAATTGCTAGTGAAGGAAAAACATTCTATTTAAGAATGAAGAAAAATGGCAAAAAGGGCAACAATGGCAATTTAAGAGAGGAGAGAAAAAGAGGAAGAGATGGAAAGAGAGAGATTGACCCAAACCTTTGTAATTTCATTCCAGAGACAACTTGGGATAGGTATTAGGGAGTACAGGACATGGAGGAGGTAGAAGGTGGAGCATGGGAGGGATTCAGACATCTAAAAAGTAAATTTTATTTAACATTCTAATTCAAGCATGTTAAGATACGCTTTTTTCAGATAAATTGCATCCTTTGCTCCAGTGTTACAATTTTCCAGAGAATCCACAATATTCTTCACACCTAACAAAAGTATGAATCCCTTCGCTAAGTGCTTTAATTTAACTCAAGCTTAACAGGAGAGCTCTGACCATAATAATAGATGTATGGCATCTTGATTTCTGTCACATCACAACTGTCTCAATATCAAAGGGTTCTGCCTAGATTCAACATGATAACACTGAAATGTGATTTCCCACAGTATACTTCCATCTAAACGTAGCTCTTTGCAGAGATTTGTTCATTTCAGGCAAAACAAAAGAGAATTGCAAAATGGAAACACTTTACTACATAGTCAAACAATGCAGTATCTGAATCCAAAAGTCCCTAGCTAGTGGTGAAAGTAAGAACACTTACTCAGAAACCACAGTAGTACATGTGATATAAAATTCAAATAGAACAAAATAATATATAGCACTATGATCAAAACCACAGAAACACTTCTAGTTTGCGCTTTGTCAGAATTGTATCAGCTGGATCACCGGTCTATAAA